ATTACAACTAGGGTATCAGCACTACCGAACGCAGCTAACCCGATTCATGTTTTATTCCAAACATTTTTGGGTACTATCTTGAGATGAATACTAATCTACCACAGTTAATCTAAGCAAAAGATTAACTGTGGTAGATTTAGATAAGAAAAACATTTGGAAAACCCTTGACGCACACTGCCCTGCACTGCTGACAGTGCAACACTCTTCATGGGACTGCATTCACTATGAGTCCACTGAGACTCCTCAGCAGAGAGCCCATCCCTGTTTCCTTATCCCAGCAGCTCCTCAAAACGGACGCAGAGCTCGGATCACTGCTTTCACTTTCACACCCCTTCTGGCGTCAGTATTTCCCTCAATCCCCTGGCCTCAGACCCTGCCCACATTACATTTCAACCTCAGCAGATGATTCCGGACTGTGTAATCGTGCACTCATTTCCGCCAAAGCAAAAAAAAAAAGGCAGGGAAAAGGAGCTCATGTCCAACCTCTTAGCAACCTGAAATAATCGACTCCCATCCAATTTGCCATTTTTGTTGAAGGTCTTAACTCGTGGCTTTCAAAAGTCTGTGCGAGCTTTAGCATGAGGTCATGAGGTAAACCAAAGGAGTAATGAAGTTTCCAGGGAACAGATCTCCAGAGCCTAGCCTACTGAAAGCACTGACGCTGACCAACATGATGGAATTACATGGTGTGTGAACATATCGAGATATGCCTTGGCTAAGTGTAATGATCTTGTGTTTGATATATGATCTTCGCCTATTCTGCAGTCAAAGTTGTCCACTGGCTGTTTTGTTGAGCAGGTCTAAAGCAAAGCCGTAATACATTAGCCTCACAAGCTGTATGGTATGGGCTCAGTTGCCTAGCAGGGCTGGGGGCAGGATTAACACATCAGCCTCTCGTAGGACACCTGAAAGGGTCACTGGGGAACTCTTCTTGAGTTCCTAAAAAAAAAAGTACAGAAACATTTTTAAAAAATGATTTTTTTAATCAGGACGGGGATTTTGCAGAAACAGAAATGTAAAAACCAAAGCAGAAAATGATGCAACTTTTACAATTTTAGACACTTTAAACACGCAAATAAACATTTAAGCAAAGATCACAGCATGTGGAACAAGAATAATACATAGTGTTGGAAAAAAATTTTTTTTAGCTCTTTAGAGAGGAGAAATTAAGAAAATAGAAAAGAGCTGAACCTCTCGGGGCAAGCACAGCAAGGGTCCGCCTCTCAACCTCATTCAGATGATAAAAACGGGGGAATTTTGCAACTGGCCAAGACTACATTTTGCAAAACGACACAGAAAACCAAGCACAAAACCACAAGAACTCTTTTTACAGATAAACAAAGTGGAAATTTCACAAAGTGTTACTACTGTAGATATTTGTAGGGTAGGAGACCATTTCAGGCCTTTTCTAGCCATAGTGTCTTTTAAGAGGGGGAAAAAGAGAACAAATTTTAATTAGAATTAACTTTTTCTCAGTCAGCAGATCCAGCATACCACCTAGCTGCTGAGCAACAGGAAAATCCAGGAAAGGGAAAGGAAAAGGAATAATGAGGCAGATCGATACAGTGTCAACTCTCTCCATCACCCAGGCTCTCGGCTCAAACAGTGCTTTAGACAAGGGTTCTCATGCCCAGCAATATCACAGACAGGCAAAACTGGCAGCTGGCAATGCATACGGAAACATGTCCATTTTTACATCCTAATGAAGTTTTATTACTCTGTGACTGTCCTCCAGGATTAGTTTGCATTTCTCAATATGAGAGATAGGATGAGGTTTTTTTTTTAGAAGACACTCCATTTCCTTACATGAAAGCCAGTATTTGTCTTTAACCACCACTAAAGTCAAAATACCAGATGGTATAAAGCAAGCGTTCACATCTATATGCATGTAATATACTGTCGAGGCATTAACAATGGGTTTAGCTTCACATTTTACTAAACATAAACTTAATAGGCAATGATTAATGTCCTAAGCAGAAATCGTGCACTGCACATAAGAGCAGATTACTGTTCAAACCCATTATGAAATCAAAGGAGTTCAGATACTGAGAGGGTCCATCATGGTGAACAATTTTTTGAATATCCTCTGCTGCTAGAAATACTCATATCCTCGGCGTAAACCTTACAAGAACGTTTATTTCTCTCTGGGATACCAAATTCTGCTCGACTGAGAAGTGTGATTTGCAACTTAGCAAGAGAACATGATCGTGGATCACAACAGCAGCCCTCTGCTGATCTCTGCTGAATTTGCTAGCTAGTCCATTACAATCATGCTACAGTACGCCTGTGACGATCTGACAAATGCGTGAAACTTGTGGCTGTGCATTGTCATAAAAGGGCAAAGTGTTGCATGAAGAAAAATTGAACATGTGGGGCAAGGATATTGTCTACAGAGGGAAGCACACTCAAGGAGCCATGAATAAGCCCTGCACAACATGACTTGAAGAGTGCATCGATTAGCGTTCAGTTTCTGGTGGAAGGTATCTGTGGCAAGGCAGAGCATGTTGCTCAACGCCAGTTATTCAGCAACACATGAAAAGCACATGCTGATAGCCGACCCCTTCTTCCTGAGGCAGCAGCCTTGCAGTACGAGACCTGATCAGGCCACAGTGATGTCCGGGTGTCTCTGCTCCAATTTGAGATGTTGGAAATTACAGTCTTACTGTACACAAGCTGAACTGGCCACAGTGATGTTCAGGTGTCTGATTCAGTCTGAGACGCTGAACAATGTGACCTTTCTCTACAGGATCTCATCTGGCAACAGCGATATCCAGGTGTCTATGGTGCAGTTTGAGATGCTTGACAATATTGATCCTGGAGATGCTTCAATCAGACAATTCACATTAATGGCAAACTTGTGGCTGCCCTGGCAACTCTAAGTAACAAGTGCAATCCATTTAGATGTCATTTAGATGTAATACAACTACATAAATGATACTGTAGTCTAGTGCACACCAAAGAGTTTGGCCTCTCAAGAATCTGATTTACCTGTTTTTAACACCCTTAGGGCCTCATGCCTTCTGCCTTGTAGCAGTCATGGAATTTAGTTTCAGCCAAGATTAGTGTAATTTTCCATCACTTAATCACCCTAATCACATCCACTAATGCAAACCATTATACCATACTGTACAGTATATAAACAAATAGTAGGTTTATTCCATGCTGAAAAAAAGAAGAAAGAAAACACAACGTTTCGGCCGTGGAGCCTTCTTCAGGTGTCAGTCTTTTTTTCAGCATGGAACAAACCTATTACTTGTTCCTTTGCAGCCTACGCATGCTGAAGCAGCTACCCACCTGAACCCGTACTGTATATGAAGCGTTACAAATACACAAAGGACTAAGATGGATCATTTTAACTTTTGGTTAACTGATGTCAATATATATTTCTGGGAAATTATTGGAACCAAGGTAGTTTGGTGAGATTTTAACATTTTAATATGTCTGTATATAAAGTGTAAAATAAGGCATTGTGCGTATTGTGACACCAAACACAAGACACAAAAATTAACAGGTCAGCCACTGTGCTGGTTTGTTAAAAGTTGACAAATGTTCTTCATAAAGAAAAAAAAAGAGTACCATCAGCTGGGAAAAACTATTGTGTGCTCTGCCTGTTGTGACTCACTTCTTGTTTATGGCTTTTCCCTCATTCCTGACTCTTTCCCTCCTTTTAACTTCCTGAGCATATTTTTTACTGCTCTGAATTCTGTTGGCAGCAGTATCCTGTACTACAGTACATCCCTGCTCTTTAACTTTGTACAGTGTAAACATAAAATGTATTAAAGTACTGATTAATCAGAGAGCCATACATTATATATCATATCTATCAAAGGAAGAGATAATGCTGAATAAATGGAAAGCAATGTTAGTTATGTTTAACTTGCTAAACTCCATTTCCATGTAAGCTTACAATTCTCTACCACGCAGCTGTTAATAACCCAAAAGGGAAGTTGCTGTGACCTTATTCTTCTTTTTAGCAATATAACAGGCAAAATACGTCAATGTTCCTTCCAAAACAACACAGGGAATTCTAAGCTTAGAGTCTCCAGGGACTCCAAATTACACACTCATTCAGAGCCCGGAATGCCAGGATCTTAAAGACATAGGGAAATAAAAACCAGTAGTATTTTTTTTAGTTTTGCTATTTCATACATATTTATTACATCTGAGGTGAGCAAATCTCCTTTACGGCCAAGTGAACAACATGGTACTTCATATCCAAGTTGAAAATTCATTTCAAGAAACCCCAGCAGTGTATGCATGTCTTTGTTTGCTCAGAGTGCCTCACTTGGAAGGAATGTTAATGGACTAATAGGTGGAAATGTTCCATTTTGACCAGAATTTCTAACCCCATGTTCCAACATCTGCCTTCCGTACTCGTGTTCTTCAAAGATTCCACAACACCACAAACAAGGCAGGAAAAATAGTCTCACCCAAACTGGCTAAAGTCCAAGCGAGCTTTCTTAATCTGGTTCCACCTACATTGGTCTCGGTTTTAAGTGGAATACATTTTCACTTCTCGAGCTTGTCTGTGGTACCGTGACTTGCCGTCAAAAAAGGCAGTGCTGTGCTATAATGGCAGATGACGTTGCGGTGTGTAGAATGTTCTGGCACCCTTTGGGATTACAAAAATCATTTTACCACACTCAACGTGTGTTAGCCATACAGAATCAGTATCGCCACTCACACAGGTAGCTTTGCTGGGTTCTCTCACAACCTCACAAGGTGGCCGAGAGCTGATGCAGGCCCTGAGCCTGCGCTGAATCGTCACGACTGTTTATTGTGAAAAGAACCCTTTCAAAGTCAAATGCAATCCAAAAATACATATAGTTTTTACAATTATTCAAAGGGGAGCACCAATTTATTCAGTATACCTATGTGTTAGATACACCTGCACATGCGCGCAAAATAAAACTAGTGAACTCCAGATCTTACGCCCACGAAGACAGCAGGATTTCCTTTCCTGCTGTTATCGTGAAATGGGAAAGAAATCAGTATATTACCGTCTCGGCCAGGCAGGCCTCTCTCCTTCTTATCCTCGCATTTGTTGCATTCGCTGAAGTAGAGCAGGATGAACATGTCCAGCATCACCCACACCAGGGAGGTGGCCAGCACCACCTTGCAGTAGGCAAACTTCCTCATGGCGGGCACTGCCAGCCAGTGCTCCTGGGATAGGGCAGGACCCGCACAGCTGCAGGAGAGAGACAGCACAAAGACTCTCAGGGCACATTCGCACAGGTTGGCAAACGAAGAACACACCGTTAACAGGAGACTAAGCAGAGCGCTATCCTGGATGATGGCCTGGCCTAAAGACTTCACCAACGCGCTGCCACAGAACAACACTGTATTGGTGGTACTGATGGAAAGTTTCAGGCCTCCGTCAGCCCATGGTGACTGTAAACCATGTGTGTCGGAAAACTGGTCGAGCATTCAAAAGAAATATGTATCTTGCTGCTGTTAATTTTACATAAGTAGTCAAAAAAAACTGACAAATGGTGAAAAATAAAATATACAAATTCTACAGTCTATTCCTCTGTTTATAGTGGATAATACTGTCAGTTTAAAACTGCCTGAAAGCTACTGCTGTCAAGATCCAGACCTTGCTGATAGCCTGACAAACTCATCTATGGAGAAAACTCTCACCTGAGTAGTCTGAATTGGCAGCTCCCAAAGTCCTTTCAATTTCCTAACCCACTCTAAATTTCTAAATAATACAGGATTTAAACACTCCAAACCTGCAGGAGGTCAGAAATTTAGTGACCATGAAATAGATAATATCATATACCCTACAATATGATACTACAACATTGAACTCTCTTCTGAACTATTACTGAAAATAACAGATATTTTTTAATGAAAGATGTGTTCCAAAAGTTAATGAAAAAGGCGGAGTGTTGTCATGATTCAGTTACTGAGACCAAGCCCACAGAAAAGGAAGCACTGGGCCCAGTATTTCAGTATTCTGTAACTAAGGCAAGACTTTATTAAGACGTCAAAGATAATTACGGTAGTTGAACAACCACACATGCCAGTCAGTTTCTTGTTTTCTCTAACACTCAATTAGCACTTTCCTTAAAATGCTGTTCCTGAAAATAGAGCTCTTCAATGCTTGTGTGGCCAGTAATAGCAGGCCACTATGCTATCCTCTGAAAGACTAATGTGTATCAATAAGCTCTACCTGCAACAGAGCACTGTCCAAGGATACAGGACAGAACAGAGTTTACCACTTAAACATTGCACAACTAAAAGCACAGCATCCACAAACCCAACAACAAATATTTTTTTCCTCAGTAATTAAAAAATATGAGGATGAAAAGGGAATTTTGATAGTCTTACAGTTTTTTTAATCATTATCATTGCTTTAGAGAATGGCAATAATACCAGAGATCTAAATTCTGCCATAATAAGCTTGTTAGGCTGTCTGTGACAGAGCAAATGCAAGATGTGTGCTGCGATCTGCACCAGGGGGTCCCACTGATCTCTCTCATTAACTTTTAAATTTAAAAAAAGAATTCATTACACTATTTACAATGGTTATGTAGAAACCGATTTAAGTTCCCCCCCCCTTTTTTCATGAATACATTAAAACAAAACTTCTAAACAAAATGTTTAAATAATTGCTTGATCTCCTATTGTATGTTTGATTGCTCAGTCTCCTTTGTTATTTTTTTAGCTCTTTGAAAACCGTTGCCAGATTAAAATAATTATAATTCTTCTTGAACTAGAATGTCTTGCAGAATACAAAGCAGCGGGATAAGAGGTTTTCTGCTTTCTCTCGCTCTTAAACCATTATTCCGGGGACTTTTTAATCTCTTGTGGTCATATTAGCAAGCCTGACTCAGACGTAAGGCTTGTGAAAAGGAGTCCTACTTCGATTTCCAATGGTCTCTGTGAACATTTCTAGAAGGGACTGTGCTTACCAGTAACAACTGAAGGAGAACCAACTGTCCTCCAAGTCTTTTCAAACAAAGGGGAAAGTCTTATTCACAACAGTTCCCAGCTATCTCCACTGAGCTGGAGCATCAGAATATTGTGTATTCAGCCTGCATTCACCCATGGGGTTGGCACTGGTACAATATACTATCAAGTATCACGCATAAGATTTAGAGAACAAAACAGAGAAACAAAAAGCAGAGGACGCAAGCAGAAACTATGTGGAAATATGTTTAAAACCAAGAACAGGAAGGACGTCTTTACACAAAGGGTTGTGGGAGCATGGAACATGCTGCCCAGCATGTTGATATCAAAACCCTGGCTTCTTTCAATAAACAGTTAGATGAGATCCTTGGATCAATTAACTATTAACTATCAATCAGGGTTTTGGGTAAGTCAAATGGCCTCGTCTCATTTATAACATTTCCTATACTCTTAAAAACTCAACATAAAAAAAAACTAAATTTTAAGATATTTTAAAGGCAATTTGAAAATGTCTAAAGAATGCATATCTATAAAGGTACTGTATGTACTTTAATATACCAGTTGCTTCAGCTCCGCCTCATATCTGGTGTAGGGAAAACCGGTTCAGGGACGCCAAATATGTAATCATAGTGGCTCTCTGAAGGCACCAGTTCTGTAGGGTTTGGGCATTTACTGAGACAACTATTAATTGTAGCAGTAAATCACAAAGTTGATTCTTTTGATGGCTTTAGAATCCAACCATGCGACATAACTCAAACAACGCGCACACACAGGTACTAATACACGAGGATACAGTTATTAATACATAGAATATGCATGTAAACCTAACAGATCTTATCGAGAGGGTTATCAGAATACAAAAGGTATATATTCAATCAGTTACAAAGTGTTACACATATCAAGAGGACATACGTTCAGTATATCATTCATTTAGACCGTTTCATAAATGAACTTGGTTATAACTTCTACATTAGATACTCGAAACAAGTACATAACTCTTAGGAATTAAATTGATATCAACTGGTTTGGATAACAATTGAATTCTCGAGCTGTAATGCAGTGAAGTTGAATACTCATCCAATTTCTGGGGATTCAGATCTCCTGCGGGCACAAAGAAACAGTTGCAGGCTGTTGCTGTCCAATCCGCGCTCTCTGGCTCCGTGCCAGGCTATGCTGTGTGGCTTGCGACGGTGTGCTGCTGATGCTCACTGTTGGCTTAAACTAGCAAAGTTTGTGCACAGGAGAAAAGATGACTGTGGGTCCCAGCAAGTCAGGAAGAGGACCGGTTCGTTGCTGATGAAGAGCTAGTTCTGAATAGTGATTCAGCTTTCCACAGTTCCGACCTGTTCACGAGGCCTGCTGCTGGTTCCTCTCTGGCAACCTCCACTCTAGACTCTTAGAACAAAGGAAAGTTCTGGCACTCGGACACACTGGCCGTTCCGTGGTTGTCCGGGCTGAGTCTCAGGATGGTCAGGAGGCGCGGTGCGAGAATGTCCTGCCCTTGGGAGCCCTCTGCTCCTGGGCCGTCCTGCCCTGGAATTCTCCTTTGAATTCCCTTTAGAACAGTCCACAGAATCCTCTCCAGAATCTTACTGAATCTTGTTGAATCTGAATCTCCCTTTCTCTGTGTTGCCTGTTTTTACCTGGAGGAACTTCAGCTCATTGATTGGCTGAAAGTTCCATGGGCATCAGAGTCCCACGTGGGTTACTCGGCCCCACCAGTCCCTGATTGGGTGATCAAGGTGAGATATGAGTCACTTAGTCCTGACACTTAGTAATGCAGACCAGATGTCCAACTCCCTAGACAGACAGGCTCCAATGGATGACCATTGATCATGATAGCCAGGCTTAGCTAAGTGCATCCCCCTTTGGGAGCTGTCCTAGGACCTTAAATCACCCTGCACTAATGGTCTCTCTGTGGCTGCACCACAGAGATGAACAGAGAAATGGGGCCTCATTTGGGAAGCTCAGAAACACTTAATTCTGCCTTATTATTAAGCCCCGCCGCTACACTGGAATTAAGATATCCTGGGGCTTGAGTGACTTGACCCCAGAAGTGGATATCGCAGTCTGTTCCGGACAGTGCAGACCTATTAAGAAGTTCTTTAATTTATTCCAAACACTGGCGTCCTCACCTCTTGTACATTTCCCAAATTCAAACTCTGACCCTATTCTCCACTTACCTGCTGTACTACACCACAAGGGGGCAAACATATACTTACAAGGAGTTGCCCTGTTTGTATTCTGACTAAGAGAACAACATAAAAACGAGCCAAAAAAAGAATATTCACCAAACCCAATGAACCCGCATGGAACATGCTCAATTCTCAAAAGTACTCTCGTGGTTCTCAAGAGCGGCTCAGTGAATACACTCCGTCAACAGTGTAACTAAGAAGAAAAATCAACACATACCCAATTAGGCCACACCTGGGAGCTGGCTAATATAGACACAGCTGAGAAATACAGTACAGACTTCTACAAACATGAATATGGTGGGAAACACATCAACTGCACTTCTGGATCACCTGTACTGGGTTAGCAGGCATGAGGGCAGACAGGAAGGGAGACTCCCCAAAATTCTGATTCAACACAGGGTTTTTTATGGTTTAATTTTGTTCAGGGTCACTGTTTAAAAGTAACAGTAACATGTTTGCGGACATGAACTCAAGCTATGCAGACCACCAGGGAGATGAGGGTGGAGGTGAGTTAGAGGATGCAAGGACCAATAAACGTTTATTTAAATACATTTATTTTTACACAATGTTTTACACTACCCTACATATATAAATTAAACTGGATAGGGATGGAAAGGAGACTGGTGGTCATAAGACATAAAGATTACCAAAAAGAGGAGGCCTTCCAGTCTATCTAGCCTGTTGGATAATTGGTAAATGATCCCAGGATCTCTTTGAATGAAGCCAAAAGATCAGCTGGGTAGCTTGTTCTACAAACCCACAGCCCTTCGGGTTAAAAAAGTGCCTCGTGTTCTCCTTCTTAAACGTACTTCCATGTACTATAGATTCCATTTGTGTCCTCTGGTCTGTATTGCACTGTTCAAGAAATCGGTATTGACTCTGTTAATCAAAACCTTGGAGGGTTTTGAATGCTTGCATCAGGGTCCCCTTGTAGTCCTCGCTGCTCAACAATAAAAAGGTTCTGTACGTTCAGCTCAGTTCCTTTATTAAAATTTACAAGTGTCATTCTGAATTTGGTGTGCAAGCTCTGGAGGCACTATGCTGTAAGTTGGGGTGCCTGTTGTGTCCTAACCACAGG